AGAGAACACTTGTCTAAGTTTGGCTGCGGGGAAGGTGGAATTTACAGCCGCTTTCAGTTATTGTACTAGGCTCTCTGTGTGTGAGTCCTCCTTAAATGGGACTCTTATGAATAGTTCTTTCTTAGGGATACAGAGTTTTCCTTCTCCGGAGTGAGCCGAATGTTCTTATCGATGAACTTTTCCGGATAACCATTGTCCTGCAGCGTTTGGCGGATGAAGTGTAGTTCTTCATCTAGTGCGTCTGCTGAACAAATCTTCCGGGATCTGAAGGCTGGACATCGAACTAGATCGCGTTTCCATTTCACAGTAACGAAACTATGAAAGTTGGTATATTGGCCGTTCCGTGTTTTCTTTCTGTGTATCTATCTTCCTACTGATTTATCTTCTTTACTGTACACGGCTACATCCAGAAAGGCCAATTTGTCGATAGCTTCAAACTCTACGGCGAATTCCAGTGACGGATGTGCTTCGTTAAACGATTTCAGCGTCTGTGGGATGCCACTTTTGCAATCGGTCACACGAAAGATATCATCCATATATCTACTGTAATGTGCTACACGCACACGCGCACACACACCCATTACTCTCTGCCTCCGATTAATGACCTTAAATTAAGCCAATAGCTTATGTAAGAACTTTTGCACTATATGATATGTAAGAGCATGACCAGGAATATCCGAAAACAATTGTTTACTCACCGACTCGTTTTCTCTGTTCCATGATTTGTTTGTGGGTGGAATACTGTTAGGTTTACATGGCCAAGGCAGGTGAATTTTCTTGAGGAATTAACAATCGGAGACTTCGATTGGGGCAGTAGTTTAGTCACTGTCAACATGTTTGGACGTTATGGTCCGAGGTTCGAGCCCCGCCACCCAACTTTGGTGGTAGACAGCTTTGTCGTCATCCGGTTGAACACTACCATCATCATCATCATCATCATCATCATACAGGGAAATACAGAGAAGCGAACTTTTTTGAGCGCTGCCAAACTCGCAGTGCATATACGCTGGGGTTTGATGGCCGGGTACTGCTGGGGTATCTAGCTACTAGGCAGGAGAACGATTATGGTGTCCAAAGCCCCTAGTTCTGACAAGAAGCTAGCCGCAAGGCTGCGGCTGAAGCGAAGTGGATGTCCATTTACTTGGATCAATTACTCCTTCACCATTTTTTACCAACTGAAACGCTAATTCTAGTCAAACCCCCAATCTGGAGGACCAGGAGACTGGACTTCGTCCGACCTCTACCCTCCGATCTTCCTGGCATGATCAGATATTCAGCTTGAAAAAAACCATCCTGTGTAGCTCGTTGGGTCAGAGGTGCACAAGCCATCGCACCACATCAAGGTGCAATCTCGCCTAACCTAGCGGGGTCTCTTGTGGTTCGCCACTCGAAGTCCCGGGGCTTATGTTGCCGGTTACCATCATTGAACAGCAGGTCCTCGTGACTATGGGGTTTACCCCGTCCGCTATTCAGCACACTCAGGTGCCATAACAACAGCCTTCAGTTCAGTTCAGTTTTCACAGAACGAATATGGCTCTTGCCAATCGAGCGTCCAGTTCGTTGTGTTGTCGGCGGATGGGAGTAGCTTCCAACACTGCGTATAGTTGATTAGGTGTTTGTGATCCTCTCAATTTAGCTCCGTTGCCAGAACGTTGACTCCTTGGGGGTATGTTGAAAGGGAGGAAAACAAGCAAGGATGTCTCGCCTCATTGATTATAGACCTCAAGTACACATGCGTTCGTATATACAGATCACGTGACAGGACAGTCAGTTTTAGAATAATTTTAACAGTCAAACACGAGTTCGCACCGTTTCAAAGCTTCCGGCTAAAGTACAATTTATTCCTTATGTTCCCACTCTAAATACTAACGTCGGGGAACGTTGCTGACCACCATGCGTCCAGGGCCACCTTGATGGCGTTAACATTGGAGCAGTTGACCACTTCTGCAGGTAACCTGTTCCACATAGGTATGACCCTGTGTGCGAAGAATTTGGCCCGTACTTCCAACCTGGCGAGGTTCTGCCGAAGTTTATTGCACACAATATTCCATGCGTGGACCAACAATCGACTCATACAGGGGGAGAAACACCTCAGGCCGTCTGCATGTTACTGTAATACAGCCCGAACAGCTGCCCCTTAGCCTGATTTGCAGCCTTGGAGCACTGGGTTGA